AAAAAAAATCCAAAAGGAAATCTCATTTTTGACTCAAGATTTTTTTAAAAATTCTGACTCGGTCATGAATAATTGCTCATCCCTTCGATGAAATTTGAGCAAATGATATACAATTATATATCACTGGAAAGAGCATAAAATTCTCTTTTAGGCTGTGTAAAATTGGTTTCTATACCTTGTAGGGTTCGCAAGATATGAAGCTCCAAAGTTAAAATTTAGTTGAAATTTTGTCCAATACTTTAAGCTTGATTTTCTCAAAAACCGTGAATGCTAGCAAGTTCAACTAAGTACCATCTTAAAGCCCTTATCAACAGCTACAAGTACTGAAAATTTTGTCCCAATACCGCTTTTGGTTACCGAGATATCGAGGTTTGAAGATTTGGGAATGAAAATCCAAAGGGGTACCCCTTAGGAAAAAATGCGAAAAATTGAAAATTTTTATTTTTCAGTTTTTCTCAATTTTGTCTCAAAAAATCGATAGAGCGGACTCAAATTACCCAGAATGAACTCTAACATCGTTTGTATTTGAGAATTTCAATGAGAAAAAAAATCCAAAAGGAAATCTCATTTTTGACTCAAGAATTTTTTTAAAATTCTGACTCGGTTATGAATAATTGCTCATCTCTTCGATGACATTTGAGTAAATGCTATACAATTATACATCATTGGAAAGAGCATTAAATTCTCTATTAGGCTGTGTAAAGTTGGTTTCTATACCTTGTAGGGTTCCCAAGATATGAAGCTCCAAAGTTAAAATTTAGTCAAAATTTTATCCAAAACTTCAAACTTGATTTTCTCAAAAACCGTAAACGCTAGCAAGTTCAACTAAGTACCATTTTAAAGCCCTTATCAACAGCTACAAGTACTGAAAATTTTGTCCCAATACCGCTTTTGGTTACCGAGATATCGAGGTTTGAAGATTTGGGAATGAAAATCCAAAGGGGTACCCCTTAGGAAAAAATGCGAAAAATTGAAAATTTTTATTTTTCAGTTTTTCTCAATTTTGACTCAAAAAATCGATAGAGCGGACTCAAATTACCCAGAAACAACTCTAACATCGTTTGTATTTGAGAATTTCAATGAGAAAAAAAATCCAAAAGGAAATCTCATTTTTGACTCAAGATTTTTAAAAAAATTCTGACTCGGTCATGAATAATTGCTCATCTCTTCGATGACATTTGAGCAAATGCTATACAATTATACATCATTGGAAAGAGCATTAAATTCTCTATTAGGCTGTGTAAAGTTGGTTTCTGTACCTTGTAGGGTTCCCAAGATATGAAGCTCCAAAGTTAAAATTTAGTCAAAATTTTGTCCAAAACTTCAAACTTGATTTTCTCAAAAACCGTAAACGCTAGCAAGTTAAACTAAGTACCATCTTAAAGCCCTTATCAAGAGCTACAAGTACTGAAAATTTTGTCCCAATACCGCTTTTGGTTACCGAGATATCGAGGTTTGAAAATTTGGGAATGAAAATCCAAAGGGGTACCCCTTAGGAAAAAATTCGAAAAATTGAAAATTTTTATTTTTCAGTTTTTCTCAATTTTGACTCAAAAAATCGATAGAGCGGACTCAAATTACCCAGAAACAACTCTAACATCGTTTGTATTTGAGAATTTCAATGAGAAAGAAAATCCAAAAGGAAATCTCATTTTTGACTCAAGATTTTTTTAAAAATTCTGACTCGGTCATGAATAATTGCTCATCTCTTCGATGACATTTGAGCAAATGCTATACAATTATACATCATTGGAAAGAGCATTAAATTCTCTATTAGGCTGTGTAAAGTTGGTTTCTGTACCTTGTAGGGTTCCCAAGATATGAAGCTCCAAAGTTAAAATTTAGTCAAAATTTTGTCCAAAACTTCAAACTTGATTTTCTCAAAAACCGTAAACGCTAGCAAGTTAAACTAAGTACCATCTTAAAGCCCTTATCAAGAGCTACAAGTACTGAAAATTTTGTCCCAATACCGCTTTTGGTTACCGAGATATCGAGGTTTGAAAATTTGGGAATGAAAATCCAAAGGGGTACCCCTTAGGAAAAAATTCGAAAAATTGAAAATTTTTATTTTTCAGTTTTTCTCAATTTTGACTCAAAAAATCGATAGAGCGGACTCAAATTACCCAGAAACAACTCTAACATCGTTTGTATTTGAGAATTTCAATGAGAAAAAAAATCCAAAAGGAAATCTCATTTTTGACTCAAGATTTTTTTAAAAATTCTGACTCGGTCATGAATAATTGCTCATCCCTTCGATGACATTTGAGCAAATGCTATACAATTATACATCATTGGAAAGAGCATTAAATTCTCTATTAGGCTGTGTAAAGTTGGTTTTTGTACCTTGTAGGGTTCCCAAGATATGAAGCTCCAAAGTTAAAATTTAGTCAAAATTTTGTCCAAAACTTCAAACTTGATTTTCTTAAAAACCGTAAACGCTAGCAAGTTAAACTAAGTACCATTTTAAAGCCCTTATCAACAGCTACAAGTACTGAAAATTTTGTCCCAATACCGCTTTTGGTTACCGAGATATCGAGGTTTGAAGATTTGGGAATGAAAATCCAAAGGGGTACCCCTTAGGAAAAAATGCGAAAAATTGAAAATTTTTATTTTTCAGTTTTTCTCAATTTTGACTCAAAAAATCGATAGAGCGGACTCAAATTACCCAGAAACAACTCTAACATCGTTTGTATTTGAGAATTTCAATGAGAAAAAAAATCCAAAAGGAAATCTCATTTTTGACTCAAGATTTTTTTAAAAATTCTGACTCGGTCATGAATAATTGCTCATCCCTTCGATGACATTTGAGCAAATGCTATACAATACAATTATACATCATTGGAAAGAGCATTAAATTCTCTATTAGGCTGTGTAAAGTTGGTTTTTGTACCTTGTAGGGTTCCCAAGATATGAAGCTCCAAAGTTAAAATTTAGTCAAAATTTTGTCCAAAACTTCAAACTTGATTTTCTTAAAAACCGTAAACGCTAGCAAGTTAAACTAAGTACCATTTTAAAGCCCTTATCAACAGCTACAAGTACTGAAAATTTTGTCCCAATACCGCTTTTGGTTACCGAGATATCGAGGTTTGAAGATTTGGGAATGAAAATCCAAAGGGGTACCCCTTAGGAAAAAATGCGAAAAATTGAAAATTTTTATTTTTCAGTTTTTCTCAATTTTGACTCAAAAAATCGATAGAGCGGACTCAAATTACCCAGAAACAACTCTAACATCGTTTGTATTTGAGAATTTCAATGAGAAAAAAAATCCAAAAGGAAATCTCATTTTTGACTCAAGATTTTTTAAAAAATTCTGACTCGGTCATGAATAATTGCTCATCTCTTCGATGACATTTGAGCAAATGCTATACAATTATACATCATTGGAAAGAGCATTAAATTCTCTATTATAGGCTGTGCAAAATTGGTTTCTATACCTTGTAGGGTTCCCAAGATATGAAGCTCCAAAGTTAAAATTTACTTGAAATTTTGTCCAAAACTTCAAACTTCAAACTTGATTTTCAAAAAATTTCAAACTTGATTTTAGTTAAAATACAATCCAGTTGGTTCTTTAGTTAAATTCAATGCCAGACTAGTCCCAAAAAGTTATTCCTTGATTTTCATTCAAAATCCCACAAACATACATTTTGCCTCACAACTTCGTTAATTTCAATCCGATCTCAACGTAATTAGGCTTCAATTGAAGCCAATTAAATTCTCTACAAATCTCCTGTAAATAATTTCAATGCAATTTCAATAGTTTTGCAGCTGCAAAGCTTCAAAGTCTTTTGACTTAGATTTGCATTCAAATTAAGTTTCAATCTGTTTAGAAATCTGGTAAACAAACAAACAAACACTCTTGTGTAGTTCAAACACATAAAATCGTCCTCGCCATAAGGTCAAATGGCCTATAAAAACAGGTAATTAGTCTTATAAAATTTCCATTAAAGCCATATGAGCTGGCAAAAATACGTTACATTACTGTATAATCACCTCAATTTCCCCAAAGAAAGTTGCCTTTAGAACTTATTATCGCTAATGTTCACAGTTTGTAAGTTTTAAATAGTACAATTAGGGAATTTTCTACTCAAAAATATTCAAACTTATTATTGTTTTACATGAAGAAAAACCTACTTCCTAGTACCCAATACAAGTTCAAACATTACGAAACAAACTTCCTCAAGATTTCGTAATAAAATATTGTCCGGAACCTGACGAGAAGAAAAGTGAAAGTCAACCAGAGACAAAATTGTTTTAAACAAACTATGTATTTGGAAGAAATATTAATTCAAGTAAACAAATAATTGAAAATGCATCTGCTGAGACTCAGATAGTAAAATTATGCTTTGTAAAATGATTCAGAAAAATACAACAGTTTATATTCCACTGTTTATATACCTACATGATTTTTTTATATAAATATTTATTTCACGTATTTTTATATTTGTAATTATTTTATGGCTGGTGTTTGTGAGTCATTCTATTGAGGATTTTGTTAGGAAAATAATGGTTATCAGAGTGAAGAGTTTTCAACATTTTAAGTGGCACACAATTCCACAAAGTTTCAGTACCTACATAATTTATTAATTTCTAAAATGACTATGCAAATAAAATAAACGAGCCAATTATCATCCTCCGTCATTCTAATTTGCTCACGTAAAAATAATTATTTAAAAAAAAAAAAAGACAAGAATCCTCGTTAATCAATGGGTGCCAAAAACGTGCTGATGTACCTCAAAAAAAGCTCGAAAATTTCACCGGAAAAACGTAAGTTTTAATCCGGGTACGTGCCCGGATTTCCTATGGTAAATAAGCTTCAAATACAAATAATCAAACAATTATTATTATTGAGTCTCAATCAAATTTTTGTTAATAATTATAATGATGTTTTACAATAATAATCATCAACGCAAATAAGTAGGTATATAGTCGCTGTTTTTTTTTCTGTGTGGCGCTAGCGTCGTTTTATAAAAGGGGAAAAACCACCCCCAAGAGGGTTAAATGTTGCTAGACCATATAGGAAGACTCACCAAAACTTGAAAAAATGAAGTTCTTTTGGTCCGGTGTAGTCTTCCTTGCCTTGTACTTTTTTTGTGAACTTGTTGCAAGTGACTACAGCGAATCTATGAGTGAGTCAATAATTATTTATAAATGTAAATCAATTTTTGCTCAATTAAAAATATTCATAAATTAATTATTGGTAAAATTTTCCAGGCAATAATAAAGTTTGTCCTTCTAAGGGCCAAATTAGGACAAATTTATCCTGCTGCTAAAGCTAGAAATTGCATTGGACTTTTAGTTTTAGCAGCAGAGTAAATTTGCCAGTCAGTAGGTCCATAATTTGGCCCTAATAACTGGAAAGCTTTTAGAATAATTGACTTAAATATTAAGAAAATTTGAAAGAAATTTTGAGGGTCCTTTTAAAAAGTTATATGTAAAAAGGGTCAAAAGTTTGTAATTCTCATAAGTACCTATTTTTGAATTTGGGCATCAGTTTTTCAGATTCTCTGTTATTAAATTTCACGTTGTTTTTTTTTTTTTGAGGATCAGAAGAAAAATAATTCAATTTCTGAGTCAATTATCAACTTGTTTTATTATATCAAGGGTTTGTTTTATTGTTGTAGTGCCCTCAAAAGAAATGAGAAACAGGGTGCATCGTACCATGAGAGTGAACATGCGAGTGGGAAAAAGATACGGAGATTCCGAGTATGACGAAGAAGGTGAGTGGATTTTTTTCCTTTTATATACAGGGTTTTTGATTCGATTTAAGCTAAGCCCATAGCAGATAAGGTATGGACTTACTTATAATCAAAGACTCTCTGTACATGTACAAACTAATCTGAAACTTTACTTACATCAAAACTTTTACTTCTACATACAAAATATCTAATGTGTGGCTTTTATAAATATTTTGTTAAATTTTTGGTAAAAATGAGTTTAGGTTATTAATTTGGAGTTTAAATGGGTGGTTAAATTTTAACATTTTTTATTTAAATTTTTAATGAAATGTATTTTTGCTTAATTTAATTGATTTTCGTTAATTTCCATGGTTATTATTTTTCACTAGAAAAGTTTGAAATTTTAGTATGATGAACTCTTAACTTTCCTTTTTGTCCCTAGAAAATTTCATAATTTTCCCCTCCGTAGTTTTCCAGAAAAAAAATAAAATGTATCAGGGTGCATTTTTGCCTAATTTGATTGATTTTCATTAATTTCTCATAGTGTTATTTTTCACTAGAAAAGTTTGAAATTTTAGTATGATGAACTCTTAACTTTCCTCTTTTCCCCTAAAAAATTTCATAATTCTCCCTTTAGTAGTTTTCCAAAAAAAAATTAAAATGTATGAAGGTGCATTTTTACCTAATTTAGTTAATTTTCATTAATTTCCCATAGTGTTATTTTCCACTAGAAAAGTTTGAAATTTTAGTATGATGAACTCTTAACTTTCCTCTCTTTCCCTTGAAAGTTTCATATTTTTCCCTTCAGCAGTAGTTTTCCAGAAAAAAATTAAAGTGTATGAGAGTGCATTTTTGCCTATAATTTAGTTGATTTTCATTAATTTCCCATGAAGTAATTTTTCACTGGAAAAGTTTGAAATTTTAGTATGATGAACCTCTAACTTTCCTCTTTTCCCCCTGAAAGTTTCACAACTTTCCCTTCATCAGTAGTATTCCAGAAAAATAATTAATTTTCTAAATTTCCAGCCCCAAAACGCAAACTGCGCATGATAATGCGCACCGGAAAACGCACACAAAACACACCACCACAACCCTACACCGTCAAAGATTTACTTGCAGGTACCATTAACCCAAGGATAATACACACCTACAGGATTGCTTATTAGCCTCGTTTTTTTTTGGTATTGGTGACGTCATAACGTTTAAACAACGAGAAATAACATGCTGTTTACGTCACAACAATAGGCCATCCTGTAATAGTAGTGTGTATCATCCTTGCCATAAATAAACCTCTGTCAAAAAATTGACAGCAAATTTTTTTTTTAATGCAGATTTCAAACGATCTTCGCCTCAATTCCTCCTCAACCCCCGTGTCGGAAAAAACGACCAACAATGGAAAATCCGTGCAATGGAAAATTTGAGTAAACGCAGCGACCCTAAAGCTACGGATTTGTGGTTCGGACCCCGAATAGGCAGAGCCAACGAGGAATTAGTTGAAGATTTTCCATGGAATTATGTTGTTTTAAACGGTAATTGATTATGTGATGTGTCAATTCTGTCATACTCCTCTACCATCAAATTCTGGGATACTTTAGGATCAAGAACACTTAATTTCTCCTATGAGAATAAACTGAAAATCACCTTTTTTCTATATTTAAAATCAATGACGTCACTCGCAGGCCCAGAATTTGTTGGAGAGAATAATGTGAGCACAGCCTCGATCACAAGCGAGGTCTGCAAGTGACGTCATCACTATAAGCTGCTATTACTGACGTCACTCGCAGACTCAGAATTTGATGGAGAGGATAATGTAAACGCACACAACTTAACGAAATTGACTGGGTTTACACCGCATGTTTTTCTTCTTTTTTTTTTCAGGTAACAGGCTGTCAAATTCCAACGAACCAGAAGAGCAACAAAACGAAGAAACAACAGAATAACCTTTTGTGTAAATTATTATAATTGTTGATATGTTTTCTTTTGTCATTGTAAATGACACCTGTCAATTTTAAGCACCTTTATGACATTGTCAAATAAATTGAGGCTGGAACGCAGTTGTCAGAACACTGCGTTATTTATTTATGGCAATTTCGTATTGTTTAAATTAATAAAAACAATTTGAAAATAACGATTTGTGTTTTATTTGAACAAATAGTCATGGTATATCTTCTTAATGATTACCCATATTTTGTTTCGAAAAATTTTTGGAGTGATATATCCTCTTAATGAAATCCTAATTTTGCTTCAAAAAATTTTCGGTGTGGTAAATCCTCTTAATTTTTCAAAGATTTTTCGTTCGAAATTTTTCGAAGTGGTATATCCCCTTAATGTTTTGAAAAATTTTTGTTCGAAAATTTTTGGAGTGGTATATCCCCTTAATTTTTTAAAAATTTTTCGTTCGAAATTTTTCGGAGTGGTATATCCCCTTAATGTTTTGAAAAATTTTCGTACGAAATTTTTCGGAGTGGTATATCCCCTTAATGATTTCCCATATTTTGCTTCAAAAATTTTTCGGTGTGGTATATCCCCTTAATGTTTTAAAAAATTTTCGTTCCAAATTTTTCGGAGTGGTATATCCCCTTAATGTTTTGAAAAATTTTCGTACGAAATTTTTCGGAGTGGTATATCCCCTTAATGATTTCCCATATTTTGCTTCAAAAATTTTTCGGTGTGGTATATCCCCTTAATTTTTTAAAAATTTTTCGTTCGAAATTTTTCGGAGTGGTATATCCCCTTAATGTTTTGAAAAATTTTCGTACGAAATTTTTCGGAGTGGTATATCCCCTTAATGATTTCCCATATTTTGCTTCAAAAATTTTTCGGTGTGGTATATCCTCTTAATTTTTTAAAAATTTTTCGTTCGAAATTTTTCGGAGTGGTATATCCCCTTAATGATTTCCCATATTTTGCTTCAAAAATTTTTCGGTGTGGTATATCCCCTTAATTTTTTAAAAAATTTTCGTTCGAAATTTTTCGGAGTGGTATATCCCCTTAATGTTTTGAAAAATTTTCGTACGAAATTTTTCGAAGTGGTATTTCCCCTTAATGATTTCCCATATTTTGCTTCAAAAATTTTTCGGTGTGGTATATCCCCTTAATTTTTTAAAAAAATTTCGTTCGAAATTTTTCGGAGTGGTATATCCCCTTAATGTTTTGAAAAATTTTCGTACGAAATTTTTCGGAGTGGTATATCCCCTTAATGATTTCCCATATTTTGCTTCAAAAATTTTTCGGTGTGGTATATCCCCTTAATGTTTTGAAAAATTTTAGTTCGAAAATTTTTGGAGTGGTATATCCTCTTAATTTTTTAAAAATTTTTCGTCCGAAATTTTTCTGCGTGGTATATCCCCTTAATGTTTTGAAAAATTTGCGTACGAAATTTTTCGGAGTGGTATATCCCCTTAATGATTTCCCATATTTTGCTTCAAAAATTTTTCGGTGTGGTATATCCCCTTAATGTTTTGAAAAATTTTAGTTCGAAAATTTTTGGAGTGGTATATCCTCTTAATTTTTTAAAAATTTTTCGTCCGAAATTTTTCTGCGTGGTATATCCCCTTAATGTTTTGAAAAATTTGCGTACGAAATTTTTCGGAGTGGTATATCCCCTTAATGATTTCCCATATTTTGTTTCAAAAATTTTTCGGAGTGGTATATCCCCTTAATGTTTTGAAAAATTTTTGTTCGAAAATTTTTGGAGTGGTATATCCTCTTAATTCTGTTCGATTTTCCTCAAATTTTAAGATTATTAAGAGGATATACCACAAAATAAATAAAACAAATACAATAAATAGGTATAAAATTATTTATTTATTTAATACATAAAATTCTTCTGTAGTATTTAGTTGCTCAGCTACCAGCAGCTACAGGAGTTTCAATCAGCTTCAAATCTGAAAAAAGAAAACACAAATAATAATTATTAATAATTGCACTAACAATAATTATATAAAACTATACTCTGAATTACTCTCAGTGCAGCTAAAAGAAAACGTTACGACATAAGGTCTGTTCCCACAGGAGTCTCTGACAGTTTGCAAACTGTCAGTAAGCATCGCCCATATATGTTTTCAATGCTCTTGTTACAAGATAAATCTGTAACTCAGTTGAGCGATTGTTTCTGACAGGTTGCAAACTGTCAGAGACTCCTGTGGGAACAGACCTATAGTGGCGCCATCTATCAAACAGCAGCTGAACTTTGTAACTACTAAAGCGGAAACCTGTATTTGCTTAGTGGCGCCATCTATTAAACAACAATCAAACTATTTTCAAAGAAATACACTAGCGACATCTATCAAATAGGATTCAAATTAATGTATTAATTATTGCAAGAATCTATAATTTCATTCAAAAAAAAAAGAGCGCCAAAAGCGAATTCTTTTGGCAAAAATTCTTTGCTTATATTCAAAACCAACTAAAAAACACCCCTGACGTCATCACTGAGTGAAAAAGGCAAATTTCCTTTGGGAACCAGCAAAAATGTCAAACCGGCAAGCAAAAAACTGTCAAAAATTTGAAAAATTACAGTGTCAGGGCTACAAAGAAAATCTCCCCACTTATAATGGCCGAGACAATCTGCACGGAATCCGATCTGCAAACGTATTTTCAGGAGTTGAAAAAACACTCTGTAACTTACAAGTTGGGCCAGATGCAGCAGCAACAGACCGCAGGAGACGAAATGCAGAATCCTTTGCAGAAACAATTCGGTTTGGTTTTAGGCAAAATCGAAGAGATTTTAAGTGAGAATTTCTCAGGTTTGTTCCAACACAGCAGGAAACTGCGCAACATCTACAAAATTCGTATACAGAGTGGTTCCAAAACATTTCTAGGGCAGTTTTTTGACAAGTTGGAACAAACCTCTATTATCTGTAAGTTGTTAATTGTTGTAATTTACATAGTAAAATCCAGCAAAGATTCTGAAGAATACGTCAAACTAATGTCAATGAAAACATCTATAATATACGAAAAAGCAAAAATCCTATTAGCTGAAAATCTACTACCAGAAAGCCTCAAGCTTCTAGAAGAAGCCCTAGACTTAATAAAAGACTTAGAAGAACACCCCAAAATAGCCTTTTTGCACATGCGCATCGTCAACCACATGACGTACGTCCTATCCAGGCTCGGCCAACTGGACCAAGCCAAAGAAATGCTCACAAAAGCCATAGACAATGAAACCAAGTACAACCCTGAAGTCTACAGCACTGATGACTTGTTCCTAAATACCAAAAAAGACCCCAAGATTTCTGAAGCAAAACTCACTCGCTTGACAATTAACAACTTACAAATGCTGGCCTGGATTCAGGCCAAAATGGGCAACACTGAAGCACATTTGAAGCTACAGCATGAGATACTTCAGAGGCAATTGGATGTTGCTGAGGGGGATGTTCTGAGGTGGGCGGAGTCTTGTTTCCGATTGGCCAACGTGTTTGTTAATCATGGAGATTTCCAGAATGGAGTGTAAGTATTTCTTTTTTCAAAATAGGGACTTTGAAGCTTTGCAGCTGCAAAACTATTGAAGTCATTCATAAGAAATTTGTAGAGAATTTGTATGGTTTCAATTTAAGCCTAATCACATCAAGATCGGATCAAAATTAACAAAGTTATGACACAAAGTGTGTCATTTTGATAGAAATCTCAGTTACGCAATTTTGCAGCTGCAAAACTATTGAAGCTACATTGAAGTCATTTACAGGAAGTTTGTAGAGAATTTGATTGGCTTCAATTTAAGCCTAATTACATCAAGATCGGATCAAAATTAACAAAGTTATGACACAAAGTGTGTCATTTTAATAGAAATCTAAGTTACGCAATTTTGTAGCTGCAAAACTATTGAAGCTACATTGAAGTCATTCATAGGAAATTTTTAGAGAATTTGATTGGCTTCAATTTAAGCCTAATTACATCGAGATCGGATCAAAATTAACAAAGTTATGACACAAAGTGTGTCATTTTAATAGAAATCTAAGTTACGCAATTTTGCAGCTGCAAAACTATTGCAGCTACATTGAAGTCATTCATAGGAAATTTTTAGAGAATTTGATTGGCTTCAATTTAAGCCTAATTACATCAAGATCGGATTGAAATTAACAAAGTTATGACACAAAGTGTGTCATTTTAATAGAAATCTAAGTTACACAATTTTGCAGCTGCAAAACTATTGAAGCTACATTGAAGTCATTTACAGGAAATTTGTAGAGAATTTGATTAGCTTCAATTTAAGCCTAATTACATCAAGATCGGATTGAAATTAACAAAGTTATGACACAAAGTGTGTCATTTTCATAGAAATCTAAGTTACACAATTTTGCAGCTGCAAAACTATTGAAGCTACATTGAAGTCATTCACAGGAAATTTGTAGAGAATTTGATTAGCTTCAATTTAAGCCTAATTACATCAAGATCGGATTGAAATTAACAAAGTTATGACACAAAGTGTGTCATTTTAATAGAAATCTAAGTTACACAATTTTGCAGCTGCAAAACTATTGAAGCTACATTGAAGTCATTCATAGGAAATTTTTAGAGAATTTGATTAGCTTCAATTTAAGCCTAATTACATCAAGATCGGATTGAAATTAACAAAGTTATGACACAAAGTGTGTCATTTTCATAGAAATCTAAGTTACACAATTTTGCAGCTGCAAAACTATTGAAGCTACATTGAAGTCATTCACACGAAATTTGTAGAGAACTCAATTAGCTTTAATTTAAGCCTAATTACATCAAGATCGGATCAAAATTAACAAAGTTATGACACAAAGTGTGTCATTTTCATAGAAATCTAAGTTACGCAATTTTGCAGCTGCAAAACCATGGAAGCTACATTGAAATCATCCAGAGGAGATTTGTAGAGAATTTGATTGGCTTCAATTTGAGCCTAATTACATCAAGATCGGATCAAAATTAACAAAGTTATGACACAAAGTGTGTCATTTTGATAAAAATCTAAGTTACGCAATTTTGCAGCTGCAAAACTATTGGAGCTACATTGAAGTTATTTTCAGGAAATTTGTAGAGAATTTGATTGGCTTCATTTTAAGCCTAATCACATCAAGATCGGATCAAAATTAACAAAGTTATGACACAAAGTGTGTCATTGTCATAGAAATCTAAGTTACGCAATTTTGCAGCTGCAAAACTATTGAAGCTACATTGAAGTCATTCACAGGAAATTTGTAGAGAATTTGATTGGCTTCATTTTAAGCCTAATCACATCAAGATCGGATCAAAATTAACAAAGTTATGACACAAAGTGTGTCATTTTCATAGAAATCTAAGTTACGCAATTTTGCAGCTGCAAAACCATTGAAGCTACATTGAAATCATCCAGAGGAGATTTGTAGAGAATTTGATTGGCTTCAATTTGAGCCTAATTACATCAAGATCGGATCAAAATTAACAAAGTTATGACACAAAGTGTGTCATTTTGATAAAAATCTAAGTTACGCAATTTTGCAGCTGCAAACCTATTGAAGCTACATTGAAGTCATTCACACGAAATTTGTAGAGAACTCAATTAGCTTTAATTTAAGCCTAATTACATCAAGATCGGATCAAAATTAACAAAGTTATGACACAAAGTGTGTCATTTTCATAGAAATCTAAGTTACGCAATTTTGCAGCTGCAAAACTATTGAAGCTACATTGAAGTCATTCACACGAAATTTGTAGAGAATTCAATTAGCTTTAATTTAAACCTAATTACATCAAGATCGGATCAAAATTAACAAAGTTATGACACAAATTGTCTCATTTTGATAGAAATCTAAGTTACGCAATTTTGCAACTGCAAAACTATTGAAGCTACATTGAAGTCATTCACAGGAAATTTGTAGAGAATTTGATTGGCTTCATTTTAAGCCTAATCACATCAAGATCGGATCAAAATTAACAAAGTTATGACACAAAGTGTGTCATTTTCATAGAAATCTAAGTTACGCAATTTTGCAGCTGCAAAACTATTGAAGCTACATTGAAGTCATTCACAGGAAATTTGTGGAGAATTTGATTGGCTTCATTTTAAGCCTAATCACATCAAGATCGGATCAAAATTAACAAAGTTATGACACAAAGTGTGTCATTTTCATAGAAATCTAAGTTACGCAATTTTGCAGCTGCAAAACCATTGAAGCTACATTGAAATCATCCAGAGGAGATTTGTAGAGAATTTGATTGGCTTCAATTTGAGCCTAATTACATCAAGATCGGATCAAAATTAACAAAGTTATGACACAAAGTGTGTCATTTTGATAAAAATCTAAGTTACGCAATTTTGCAGCTGCAAACCTATTGAAGCTACATTGAAGTCATTCACACGAAATTTGTAGAGAACTCAATTAGCTTTAATTTAAGCCTAATTACATCAAGATCGGGTCAAAATTAACAAAGTTATGACACAAAGTGTGTCATTTTCATAGAAATCTAAGTTACGCAATTTTGCAGCTGCAAAACCATGGAAGCTACATTGAAATCATCCAGAGGAGATTTGTAGAGAATTCAATTAGCTTTAATTTAAACCTAATTACATCAAGATCGGATCAAAATTAACAAAGTTATGACACAAATTGTCTCATTTTGATAGAAATCTAAGTTACGCAATTTTGCAACTGCAAAACTATTGAAGCTACATTGAAGTCATTCACAGGAAATTTGTAGAGAATTTGATTGGCTTCAATGTAAGCCTAATTACATCAAGATCGGATCAAAACTAACAAAGTTATGACACAAAGTGTGTCATTTTCATAGAAATCTAAGTTACGCAATTTTGCAGCTGCAAAACTATTGAAGCTACATTGAAGTCATTCACACGAAATTTGTAGAGAATTCAATTAGCTTTAATTTAAACCTAATTACATCAAGATCGGATCAAAATTAACAAAGTTATGACACAAATTGTCTCATTTTGATAGAAATCTAAGTTACGCAATTTTGCAACTGCAAAACTATTGAAGCTACATTGAAGTCATTCACAGGAAATTTGTAGAGAATTTGATTGGCTTCAATGTAAGCCTAATTACATCAAGATCGGATCAAAACTAACAAAGTTATGACACAAAGTGTGTCATTTTCGTAGAAATCTAAGTTACGCAGTTTTGCAGCTGCAAAACTATTGAAGCTACATTGAAGTCATTCACAGGAAATTTTTAGAGAATTTGATTGGCTTCAATTTAAGCCTAATTACGTCAAGATCGGATCAAAATTAACAAAGTTATGACATAAAGTGTGTCATTTTGATAGAAATCTAGGTTACGCAATTTTGCAGCTGCAAAACTATTGAAGCTGCATTGAAGTCATTCACACGAAATTTGTATAGAATTCAATTAGCTTCAATTTAAGCCAAGTTACATCAAGATCGGATAAAAAATTAACAAAGTTGTGACACAAATTGCCTCATTTTGATAGAAATCTAAGTTACACAATTTTGCAGCTGCAAAACTATTGAAGCTACATTGAAGTCATTCACAGGAAATTTGTAGAGAATTTGATTTGCTTCAATTTAAGCCTAATTACATCAAGATCGCATCAAAATTATCAAAGTTATGACACAAAGTGTGTCATTTTGATAGAAATCTAAGTTACGCAATTTTGCAGCTGCAAAAATATTGAAGCTACATTGAAGTTATTCACAGGAAATTTGTAGAGAATTTGATTAGCTTCAATCTAAGCCTAATCACATCAAGATCGGATTGAAATTAACGAAGTTATTAGCAAAAAAGTGTATTGAGTACCAATAATTTTTGAACATTTGCCTCACACTACATGATTTCCAGAATGGGTCGTAAATTTACAAGCATTTATTTTTCATATAGGGACTTACCACAATTCCTATAGGTATCCAGTCAGCGATTTATTTGATCCAGATTGGCTGTCATAAGAAAACACAATTTGAGAACACAACTTGAATTTTATTTTCTATTCCAGGCTCTTGCTTGAATTTTCTTTAGGGCCAAATTATGGACTTACTGGTAAACGTCTGGTTATTACCTAGCAGGTACTTTCTATGCTCTGGATAATAAAAAGTACCTGCTAGGTAACAACCAGACACTTATCAGTTGGTCCATAATTTAGCCCTTATTGTAACAAACCCAAGAGCCTGGAATAAACAAAAAATTGAGCTGGAAAAATAGTGAATTGCTACCTTAAAACAACATTCAACAACTCTTCCGGATTAGGCCTTTTAGCTGTACCAAACACCTTCAAATTCCTCTCACTAATGGCCAATTGCGTCACTGGCCCAATGGCAATCAACTAAAAATACCCCATTTTTCAATTTGTTTGCACTGTTTTCCAAAATTACATACTTTAACCTCCTCAACTGGAACCCTCTGGATCAAATCAATACAACTATTGAACCCTGAAGGACTAAAAAACACCACAAACTCTGGAATCGTCTGGAAATTGTTTGTAGCTCTGGATAAATCCTGCTCCAACTTGGGATTTGCAATAGTTTCATATAC